CACAATTATCCAGAGTCTTTGGTAGTCTTATCCGGGGATGAGTGAGGAATTAGTTTCAAGGGGGCATTACGTTAAAGAGGATAAAATAATTACATTCTTTTATTAATTAATGGGGCATCAACACAACAAGAAGAAAATAAATAAATAAATATATAAATATATATATATACCCATGGTGGCTCCATCAAAAATTTAAAAATTTAAGCCTAAAACTTATAAAAAAAAAAAAAAACTATAAAGGGCCCTCCCCCAAAATAATTATTTTCTCAATGTTTTTTAATTCCTTCATTCTTTTCATTCTTACCCTTCTTTTTCATTTTTTTAATTTTTTTTTTTTTAATCTCTTCAAAATATTTATATTCACTTTACTCGAACACGACACGAGTTAAATAGGTTTGGGTTGACCTTAAATAAATTTGGGTCATAAACGGGTCGACACGATTAATCCGTTTAGTTAATTATATCATGTTTGGGTTGATAGGTTCAATCCGTGTAACCCGTTTATATAGCTTTAACTATATATGTCGTAAATAAATTTTTATTTAAGTTGTAAAATTACTATATAAATTAGTGTTTTATAAATTAGTGTTTTATAATTTAATCTTTTGTAAACTAGAAACTATTTAGTAATTTGATTAATTAAAACTTATATTTTTTTTTTAGTATTTATTATTTTATTGAGTATTATTATTAATTTAAATTATATATATATATATATATATATATATATATATATATATTTGGTAAATAAGTCATTGAACGGGTTACATGTGTAACCCGTTTAATAAACAGGTCAGGTTAGTATTGAGAGTTCCTGACATAATTACTAAACGGGTCGTGTTTGAGCTGTTTAGTATGATACACTTAAATTGACACGATACGATTATGACCCACGAACACGAATCGCCACCCCTGGTCTTATCAGTCTCGAATTTTTTTAATTTTTTTTTTTTGAGTCACAATATTTGCATAGATCAATAGCAATTTTGTGAACACTCTTACACTAAATGGTAAGGTGGCCACGCATCGGATCGGATTAGACATCAATTCTAATTCAATCCGCTCGCAACAGATTGAGAGATTCTGAATCCGCCATCAATTTGTTAGCCAACGGATCGGATTCGATCCATGAAATGGCGAATCAGATCGGATCCAATCCGCGGACTGAATATGCCCTAACAATCTCCATGAATCTCCTCAACATTAGCAAGAGTATAAAAATTTGATTAAATTAACAATAAACTTTAAATCAGAAAACCACAACATAGTGAGGCAGAGACGGCAGAGAAGATCAGAAGAAGAAGGAGACAGCAGAGAAGATTAGAAGAAGAGAGGTGAGGCAGCGATTTTTTCACCGATCAGTGGCTAGATTTCGATTTGGTGACGGCCGCTTTTCTCTTTGGTCTTCCTTGAGTTCTCTAGCAGAGAAGATAAGAAGGATTGATTCAATGAAGAATGAAGAAAGAGTAAAGTTACTCGAAAAAGGAAGATGTTGTTTTGACACAAGATCTGGCCAAACCTGATTAGTAAGTCGAAAGACCAAGAAACTCTCCTTTTCTGAAAGATTCCATTTTGTTGGGGAGACAAAAAGTCCATTGGCCTTTTCTACGTCTTGTTGGTGTCAAGGAGAGATGGTCCCAACACTAATATTATATTGAGGGGTGCTAATCACAGTCGCCCCGTGACTGTAGAATCTCAGTTGCTACTTTAGTAGTTGATGAGTGTATTTTTTTTCTCGATAATTAATTACTATTTTTCTTTTAACTTCCTTTTTGGGTCTCTCATTATATATAATTACTATACTAACCTCCTACCCTTATAAAGAAACAGAGAAACCATTAGGGTTCGTTTGGTTAGCGTGAAGTAGGTAGAAAGGAAAAGAAACGGAAAAGAAATTTAATATTTGAGAATTTGGTTACCTGGAAAGGGAAATTTTTTGAGAAAGTGAGATAAATTTTCCTAAAATATTTCCCCGCATAAAACACAAGAAAGTTAACTTTCTCGCACAAAACTGTCATTTTATTTCCAAAATTTCTATTATGCCCAGTTGTTTCTCCATTTTTTTTTTTTTTTTTTCACATAACAAATATAGTGGTTATTAAATTCAGACTTAGAAAATCTTCCAACAATTATTATATATTGGGACACACAATTTGATTATATTCAATACATCGTTACCTAAAATTTTTGGAAATAAATTAAGAGTTGAAGGGTAGAATATTAAATAATATAACTTTTAATTTTTATCAATATCTCAATAGAAATATGAGAAGAGATTAATTTGAGTCATTATATTATTTATATGACATAACAATTTTACATGGGTGGAAATTAATATAATATTTATTTTTTACTATCTATACAGCTTTGAACTGAATAGCATTTTATACTGTGGGATTTTTGCATAGAAGTGGTTCATATTCATTAAAAATATGAAAGGGGACTGATAAATTATGCAAGAACCATAAAATTATTATGCATGAATTATAAAATATGTTACTTTTGCATGACAATTTTAATCTTAGAGTTGGCATTTAATGTTTCTTCGAGGGGTTTAAAAAAAGATATATTTAATAATTCAATAAAATATGAGTATGTTATCATAAATGAACTATATTCTACATATAAGTATAAATAATTATTATTGAAAACACAAAATAAAAAAATCTGGCAACTAAAATGCAGTCCTCTTTAGTTTTTCTAATTTAAATATGAATAATAATAATAATAATAATAATAATTTATAATCCATTATTTTATGATAAAACATGAGTATGTTATGATAAGTGAATTATATTCTACACATAAATATAAATAATTATTATTGAAAACAGAAAATAGAAAGAATCTGACAACTAAAATGTAGTCCTCCTTACTTTATCTAATTTAAATATGAATATAAATAATAATAATTATTATTATTAATCCATTATTTTATTATTTAATTGCTAAAAATTAATATAAATAATTGGGTATAAAGATGATTCATCTAACACAAAATTAATTTATTTTTTAATATTTTAAATCATGAGGGTAGTTTTGGTAAGTAAATCATTTTCTTTTCCCTTTCATACTATCCAAACTAATAAAATAATATTTTTCTTAACTTTCTTGAAATTTTTTCTTGCTAACCAAATGCATGTAGGAAACTTGATTTTCCTTTCTTTCACTTCACTTTCTTTCACTTTCACTTTCCATCATAAATTTCCGTCTAACCAAACGGACCCTTAGTGAAAATTCTCTCTTCAAAAACCTCCACAGTTCCATCTCACCTTAAATTTTATTTTTTACAAAAGTCCATATCTAAATATTTGAAGTTCCAACTCTAAAATTTTCTTTTTTACAAAAGTCCATATCTAAATGTTTGAAGTTCAAATCTGAATTTTTTTCAGATCTGTATTCTTTGTATTCGAAGTATTCTTCTGATTTTTCAGATTAAAAAATAAAAAAATCAGTGAAAAAAGTACTATAATCTGGTTCTCTTTTTAAAATTATCTGATTTTTTTAAATCCGTATTCTCTATTTCGAAGTATTCGATTTTTTTTCAAATAAAAAAAAGTATAATCTGAAAAAATTTTAGCGTCAGTTTGGTAGAGTGGGTTTGAAGGGAAAAGAAAGGGAAGGTGATGGAGGGTTATAAAAAAAATTGTGTTTGGGTAAAATTAGTGAAAGGAAAGGGAATGAGAGGAAAGGGTTTGGAGGGTTATTTATAAACAATGTACAGTGATTTTTTAACCTTCCAAAAATGGGAGGATAAGGAAGGAAAGGGAAGGCAATGGCATAAAAAATATTTGTTAGGCTAATTTTACCCTCAAATTTGCTCTTGATATTAGGACCTGTATTCAGCGCGGGAACAAAGGAAGGCATATATTCAGCGCGGGAACAAAGGCGCCAAAATTCTGTAGAAGTCTATTTTATTTTTTAGTCTTGCACAGCAATGGAGCCGCCTCCACTCAAGGTAGAGCCTGCTCTCTTTATTCCAGTAGCTAAGGTTTAATGTTACTGGTTGGAGCTCACTCTGTCTAAACTATAAAAATAAATTAATTTAATTGACCACCATTGAAGGGTGAGATAAATCCAAGAGAACATTTATACATTAGATACATGTTTGCTTCATTTAGTAGACTGATCTTCTTTTCTTTTTTTCTTTTTCTTTTCTCTTTTTTCTTTTCTTTTTTTTTTTTTTCTGTTAAAATATCTTATGACTATGTTTGTTAGTCATTCAAACAGTGGCACAAAGACAATTCAAGTGACACAATATTTTTCTTGAAGGTCATTCAAACAAAGTGTGCTATCATAAAAGATAGCATGCTTAAATGGAGAAAATTCAGATTAGCAGACTGTAGAAATCAGACACGCTTAGTGCATGAATGTTGATAATATTTATAATATTCTCACATGAGGAATAAGAAACTATCAGTGGATGTAAACATTTTGTAATTTATTGATTATACAAACAAAAACTCTCTTTACTTCTCTTTAATTTGCATGTGGAATATTTTTTAAGATTCCTGCAGTTTCTTTAGGCTGTTGGACTTATATATATAGTTACAAATTTCCTTAGTTAATTTGACTTCATTTTCACTGCTAGTTCAATTGTGTTCATTATCATTAACATCATTGTGGTTATCAACAAACCAAGTCATATTATAATACTTTTAATAATTCAAATTGAAGTCGATTCTCAGGAATTTAACAGATAAAAGTAGTTGAAAATGATAAAGAAGATATTTTACATATAAAAGTGCATGAAAACCACAAAGATCCATGAATTAATGTTTAACTATTTTTATTTATGTGATCCTATATTTATATGCAAGTTTATTTTTTTCTGCAAGGAAACATGTATGCATCATATTAAAAGAAAACAATAAGATTTAAGTTAATCATCTAGGCAACCAGTTGATCAATACTCTTCACTTAATGCTGGTTTTAAGCACTGCTGTGTGATGTAAGGGATGAAATTTAATAAGAATATACAATCAAAGGCGGATTCAGGGATGGGCGAAGGTGGGCTGCGGATCCACGGGTGGGCAAAGGTGGGCTTTAGCCCACCAAAAAAAAAAAAAAAAAAAACCTTTTTTTTTACCATACTACTTTAAGCCGAGCCCCAAAAAAAAAAAAAAAAAAAGAAGAGGAAGAAGAAGAAGAAGAAGTAATGGCAGCCCACCCCAAATTAGTCTAATCCAAAGTGAGCCCACCCCATTCAAAAATGCTGGATATGCCCTTGTATACAGCTATAAATTATGTAGCAGTGCGTGTGTGATCTCTCACATTGTCTGGGGAGAGATGAGATTTGATAACATTATTTGTGGATATTCTTTAACTTTGTAGACGGGTTTTGAAGAAAATCGCGAGTACTAAAATAATAAAAATATAAAATAAACAATATTTACACGGTGTGAGACGGTTCATAATACCATCTTTCACTTGTCTTGATTCATTTTGCTATATTCAACATTCTACTCTCCTTGACTAATTTGACTCCAAATGAAACGTGACCTAGATAGGTAGATTCCATTTCAATCTAGGGTTTTGTTGGAGATCCACCTTATTTAACAATTAGTAATCAACCTACCTTAAGTGCGCTCTTGACTTTCATGCATATCATTAGTGTTTAAAGGAACACTTAAAAAGCAAAACTCTCCCAAGTCCTAATAACGCACGAAGCTTGATTGGTTCACAATGACTAATCACTTTTTCTTATTCACATTTGATGGAGGAGATGTACAGTCAGACCTTGTACTTGTTCATGCATGTGCCAATTCATACGATAGAACCAAGTTCTGCATCATTTTAAAAATACCACAAAACAAAATTAACACTTGACAGCTAATGCAATTATTTTTTCCCTTTTGCTTAATCTTTCAGATGGTCAGCCATTGCGGCAAGCCAGCCGGGGCCTACAGACAATGAAATAAAAAATGTGGGGCACACCAACTTGAAAAAGAAACTCAACAAAATTGACTCCTCTTCCAAGTCCATCAATGAAGCAGAACCCTTAATGAATCATCCGAATCAATAGACACTGGATCTCCAACCGGATTCCCCTCAACATTCGCTTAGTGAAATCTCCTCCGTCGTCACCAATAACAGCAACAACGGTAACGTGTGCATGGAGGCCGATGCAGAAGTCCTAGACGATTTCCCTGAAGTTGATGAAAATTTCTCCTGGTCAGAGGTGCTCTCTGATGAAAATTCCGGCAGCACCAGCGATTTTCCTGCAGTCACAGCGGAGGAACAACTTAAATTTCCTTTGTCACCTTGTCATGCCATGGAATATGTGCACGGCTACAATTCAAGCGTTCATGATGGCGTGGACTTTTGGTACAACCTTTTCACAAGAGCTGGGGAATTACCAGAATTACCAGATGTTTGATATTTAAGCATGCAAATATCATGTTCAAGCTTCTTCTAAAGAGAGGTTTGATTTATTTGTCTCCCGTTGTTTGACCGTTAAAAAGTTGGGATGCAGAAAAATCTTTTGTTGGTCCATGTAACAAATTAAAAGAGAATGTGGCAAATAAAGAAGAATTTTTCAATACCACCTTGATTACAATAGATAGCTCTATTTGACAGTTTTAAGCCACGCATTAAATATAGGTAAAGTGCAAAAAAATCCTTTATAAACTATTATCCTTTTGCAAATAACTTTCATGAACTAAAAATTGTCCTATGAATTATTAATTTGTTGCAATTAACATCAAACTCATCATAAAAGACTATTTTACCCTTTCTTATTAAAATTTTCATTTCTTATTAAATTATTTTTATAATTTTTTTTTTCTTTAGTAAATGTTAATTATACTATTTACCTTAATTTTATTATACTATCAATTTATCATAAAAATGAAAAAAAAAAAAAAAAAGATAAATAGATTTGTAACTCTCCGTTTCTAAATTGATTATCTTATTATTAAAACTTTATTATTTGTAATAAAACTTATTATAACCAATTTAAACATTTTATCGTAAAAAAATAAATCGTCTTTTTCATACAATATATTGATAAAAAATTAATAAAATACTTTTAAAAAAAATACCTTCTTTTCATGTAATATATTTATTAAAAATGTAAAAATTAATTAATTTTTTTTAAAAAAAAAATCTACTAAATTTTTTATTTAATTAATTAACTTCAAAAAGTAAAAGTTAAGTTGTGCAAATTTAATGGAGAATATGTTATCAAATTAGAATAATTTTTTTTTATAATTTTTTTAGATAAGAAAAATATATTAAATGTAATTCAATAAGAAGGGGCATTACGGTCATTTAATGAAAAATAGTATAGACATTGGGGTATGTTACAATAAAATGCGATAGTTTACGGGGTTTTATGCACAAAATATAGTTTAAGGGGGTTATTTACAAATTCAAACATAATTCAGGAAATTTTTTGCACTTTACCCTTAATTATATAACTTTGTGCATGTATATACATGCATTTACTCTAGGTTTCACATCTAAACCTGACAGAGGATCCGATCTGATTCGAATAAGAATATTTGTGATTTCATTTGATATTTGGATGGTTTATGCGTCAATGAATCCATTTCCAACATACTTATATTATATAAAATAAAAAAACAAAAAAGTGAAAGAAACAGGACAAAAAAAAAAAAAAACAAAAAAAAAGAGAAAAAGAAAGAAAAAAGGAAAAAAAGAAAAGAAAGAAAAGCAATACGAGAAAGAAAAGAAAGAAAAGCAATACGAGAAAGAAAAGAATTGAAAAAATAATTAAAATTTGAAATAATTAAAACTTTCAGTACCATACATATTAAAACACAATGTAATCAATATTTTTGATGTCTTTAGGCATATCAGTGACTGTAATATTCCATATCTAATTTATTACTGTAATTTAATATTTTAACAATTTTGGATCATTAACAATCAAATATTCAATCTATATCCTAATTATCATTCAGATTTAATCTAGTCACATGGAACAATTATAATTGTGAATCTTTCTTTGTTTTGGTGCATGTGTACTTCTCTCTTTGATTTGCATGTGGAGGACTTTAAGATTACTGCAGTTTCCTTAGGCCGCTGGACATGTATGGTTAGAAATTTTTATTTTATTTTTTATTTTATTTTTTGTTAATTTGACTTCATTTTCACTGCTAGTTCAATTGTATTCAGCATCATTAACTTGATTGTGGTTATCACCAAACCAAGTCATATTATAATACTTTTGATAATTCACATTGAGGTCGATTCTCAGAAATTTTACAGATAAAAGTACTTGAAAATGATAGCTCATATATTTTACAGATAAAAGTGCTTGAAAACCACAAAGATCCATCAATTAATCTTGGTCTATTTTTATGTACGCGATTTGATATTTATTAGGAAACATGTCTGAATCTTATTAGAAGAAAACTAAGATTTAAGTTGATAATTCACTTAATGCTGGTTTGTTTCACTGTTGTGTGTTGTAGGGGATGTAATTTTAATTAACATAGACAACTAGAAATTATGTAACTCCGCATTACTTGTAGAGAGATGTAATAACATTATGTATAAACATTTTTTAACTGTGTAGACATGTTTTGAAAAAAAAATTCAAGGACCGAAAAAAAAAATTAAAGTATATACAAAGTAAATAATATCTATTTTGTATGAGACTAATCATAACAAAATTTTCACTTTTCCTTAAAGAATTACATGAACGATTTATTAAAAAAAAAAAAAAAATCCCAATTCATTTTTGCATATATTCAACATATTACTCTTCTTGAATAATTTCACTCCAAATGAATTGTGACCTAGCTAGATGGATTCCTTTTCCACCTATAAGATTCACCTATTTGACAATTATTAATAAAAGTGTGCTCTTGACGTTGATGCACATCTTGACAGTTGAGTTGAGAAATATAAAAACATCTCTAATGGGTTCTTTGAATTTAGACTTTCCGAATTTTTCACATTAACATTTTTTAATAGCAGCATTTTCCATAACCATGCCAATGTTTTAGAGTCTTCAAATTTTAACTATTGGATGTACTCCAATGGTGCATTTTTGCTCTAAAAAAATATTAATATTTTTAAAATTTTTAATAAATTTTATTTTTCAACTTTTTCCTAACAACTATATTTTTAAAACGACTATATCATACAAAAAATTTAAACAATACAATATTTATTATTAAAAATAATAAGATACGACATAAATTTAAACAATATAATAAAAATAAAAAATAACACAATACAACATGAATTAAAAACATAACAACTAGGAAAAACAAAACAATCATATGAAATGCTTGAGATAATCCTATGGAAAGCTTGAGTTACCGCGTGCGTGTATAAATGCTAATATTTCATTTTGGCGTTCAAGCCATGCTTTCTCGGCTTGTGTTGGCATCAATTCTAGATCTTTTTGTATGATTAACATCTCTTCAGCTCTTTGTTTGTTTTCAATCTCTCTTAGCTTGCTTTGAAGTTCGAGTTGTCTGGTATTTTCTTTATCTGCTTTGCGTGCCTCTTGTGTTATTTGAGCAGCTTCAAGACGTTTAGATTGTCTTTGATAAAGGACTGTTGCATGATCGAATTTGCTAATGAAATCATTTTGACTTTCAGATTATCTTTTATCCTTATTTCGCCCCTGCTTCGCTGTTTTCCGTCCTTCTGGTGGCTGACATTCTTCAACATCCGTCGGATCATTTTCGCCTATGTGCGCCGATCCTTCAACCAAACTTAGTGTCGTTGCTGCATTACTTGATGGAATAGATGGGTTTGAGTGACCAGTACGCTCACTGTCATCAATGTGGATTTCACTCCTTTTCTTCGGTTGTTATTTATTTATTTATTTATTTTTTAATGTCAATTCTTTTTGACAATGTAAATGCCACTTATTATTACTTTTCAAAATGTTCCAATAACTGTCAAACTTAAATTTGGTGTTGTTTTGACGAGCGAACAACTCTTTAGCTGCTATCATCCAAAAAAATAAAAATCAATAATTATTAAAAGACAAATCTTTAAAATATCTACCAATTAAATTTAATATAATAAATAACTTATCTTGTACTCATTGTCTTGCCCATTGGGGTAATTCCTTTCGATCTAGGCCATGCATCTAGAAAATTTGGTAATCATTTGTTGCATAAATAACTAACGATTCAAGCAGGTGATATGATTTCTTTTAGGTGTATTAGCACCACTAACGTGTTGCTCAAAACTTTCTTAAATTCGGATCCATAACGCTATCTTTTGTTGGTTTGAACTGATGACCGCATCAGTGTTAATGGCCATCCACGCATAACATAAAGCTTTATCTTCAACCGTGGACCAATTAGGAGGCCGAATAGCCCTTTGCTTTCTGGGAGGTTGGGAGTTATTAGATTGTGGCACTTCAATAGGAACGTTGGAAATTTGAGAAGGTTAATGAGACGAAAATTGAGATTCTTCTCCAACAAATAAGAAGAGATCAAAATTATCATTTGATTGGTTGAATTGGGAGTTGTAGTTGTAATATGGTGGTGGAGGATTCATGGAATTGAATTTGAATAAAAAAATATAACAAAAAGATTAAGAAAATGACTTAATTGTTGTAGTTGTAGGTTGAAGACTAAAGAAGATGGGTTGGATATAAGGTGAATAATAGCAAGGGTTGATATATTTATAGAGGAAAAATAAAAGGTTTTTTTTTTAAATAATAAATAAATAAATATATAATTATTATTCTTTTAAATAAATTCAAAAAATAAGTTTTTGTGCCAATATAATCATTAAGGCATTGTTTGGGTCAGCCAAACAGTGCCTAAAACAGCTATATGTCAGAAGGAATATTTTTAAAAGTAAATTTTTTTTAAAAAAAAAATCACTTTTCTCTATTTTTTTTGGCCCAAAAAAGCCTTTAAGGCACTGTTTATGTCAGCCAAACAGTGCCTTAATGGCTCTTTGGTTCAATTATTTTGAGGGAAAAAAAAAAGAGACAAAAAATCTTTTTTATTATTTTTATTTTTTGAGACAAACATAGCCTTAGGAACAGTGTCCTGGGCTAAAACACTATTCTGACCTAGAATGAAAAAATTAAAACAAAATTGATGCAGGCCTGCGACTCGCCGGGAGGGTCGCGGTTTTCCGCAACCCATTGGGTGGGGCCCAATTTTTGGTGAGACCATTGGAGAAGTCCAATAGCGGAATCTGACTCAAAATCGTTTTAAAGGCCTGCGTTGGAGTTGCTCTAAAGGACTAGAAAAATAGAAATGCCCTTAATAACCAGTAAAGTTTGCTACGATCAGATCAACAAAAACCAAGGTAAAATGTAAAAGATTCTTTGAATTATTGAAAACCTGCAACTAAACTACCAAAGTTGCCACTAATCCTACAAATTTATTCCAGGTGACCCAATCCGTGCAAGGTCCGATAATG